TGGGAATTTTTATTACAGATGCAATCTCTTTACTAGTAGCTGGTCTATTTGAATGTCTATATTTTCCTGATTTAGTCTTGATAAGTGTGTATTTCTAAAATATCCCCACCTTTTCAAATTGTGCGGTTGTAGTTATATAATATTTCATAGTAATTTTCATGACCCTCTTAATCTCTGTGGTTTCTATTGTAATATCTTCTTATCAATCATAATTTTGTTTTCTCAGATTCTATCTCTTTTTAACTTCATTAGTCTAGCTAAGGGTTTGTCAATTTTATTTTTTTCAAAGAAGCAAGTCTCAGTTTGTTTAATCTTCTCTATTGTTTTTCCGTTGTCAGTTCATTTTTTTCTGTTCTAATATTTATTTTCTCTCTTCTGCTGACTTTGTGTTTGGTTTGTTCTTTCCAGTTTCCTAAGGCATAGAATTAGGTTGTATGACGGGAACTGAGTTCATTCTGTAGACTTTCCAGCATTCTTCAGGTTCCGTTGGTGTTAGTAGTAAAAAGTGCCATTAAAAATATCACAGTATTGGAGATTATCACCCTAAGTGAAATCAGAAAAAGACAACTACCATATGCTCTCATCTATATATGGCATCTATAAAACAAAATAAACTCATGAACAAATTAAAATAGAGGCATTGATACCTGGAGCAGATGGACATCTGTCAGAGGGGAGGGGTGGTAGAGTGGGCTGGATGAAAAACTGTGAAGAGATAAGCCAATGAACCTTCGTGCCTAACCTTAGACAACAGTGAGATGATGGCCAGAGGAAAAGGGAGTGGGGACTGGGTGATGGGGGCAAAGATGGAGAGAATGGGGACATCTGGTAATAGTGTGAACAATAAAAAATATAGTTAAGGAAAGAAGAAAATAGTATAAAGAATGAACAACTTTAAAAAATATACAACAGTACTTTCATACAAAGTCTTCCAGGAAACAGAAAAAGAACAGTGCTTTCCAAAACAGTTTTGATAATAAAAACTGTCAAATATTAACTGGTCATGTTACAGAAAACAACTCAGCCACTTTCGGGTGTACGGAGTGGAACTTTATTTACGAATATGGACCCAGAAGAGGCAATCTCTAAATTCTGGGCCCCGATCAGTGGGCAACAATTGTCTATATAGGGTGAGGGGTGGTCTGCCACTTGGACCGTTGCTTCTGGCTCGAAAGAAAGAAAGCAGAACTGCTGATGAGAGTTAATACGAATTTCTTTGTTCTTACTCCTCAGTTACTTAGCTACTTGCTCTCTTTGATCCTATTGATTCAGCTGCGAGCCCCCTCCAGGGCAGGCTATTAGCCCTTACATTCATCCTATTGATTCAGCGGCTAGCTCCCCTCCTGGGCAGGCCACTACAGCCATAGAGACATGGGTTTATTTTTTGTTTCTCTACTTTGTTCCATTCATCTATATTTCTGTTCATATGCCAGTACCAGAATGTTTTGATTATGGCGGCCTTGTAATATACTTAGATGTTGGGTATTGTTATCTGTCTTACATTGCTTTCTTTCTCAAAATTGCTGCAGCCATTTGGGGTCATTTACCATTCCATATAAATTTTTGAGATGTTTGTTCTATATCTGTGAAATATTCCATTGTCTTTTAATAGGAATTGTATGGAACAAACATGGCAAAAACATAAAACAGAGTAAAAATAGCCTCTTGAACAAATGGTATTGGGAGATCTGGACAGCTACACGCAAAAAAGTGAAACTTGACCAGCAACTTATACTGTACACAAAAATAAACCCAAGATGTATTGAACACTGAAATACAAGTTGCAACACCATAAAAGTCCTAGAGGAAAACAAAGGCAGGAAAATCTCAGATATTCTATGCAACAATATTTTCACTGATATGTCCCCTAGAGCAAGGGACATTAAGGAATGAATAAACAAATAGCACTTCATCAAAATAAAAAGCTTCTGCATGGCTAATGAAAATATCAGCAAAATGAAAAGGGAACCAACCGTATAGGAAAATATATTTCCCAGTGACACCTTGGACAAAGGTCTGATCTCTACAATATATAAAGAGCTCACATGACTGATGTGGGAAGCTTTGAAGAACCTTTGTTTACCCAAACCACAAGCACTCTGGGAAGAAGGATAGCGCCATTTGGGAAATCAAACAGCAGGATGTTCACAAGGGCTCGGATTAGCACCCGCCCCCCCAGGCAGTTAGAACTAATTGCAGCATTTAGCCTTTGTACTCTGCTTCTGCCACATAAGTATAGGGAGCCCTATAGCTAGAACTAACTTCTGCATTCCGCTTCTGTATCTCACTTTGGTAGTAGACAGGAAGACCCCGTAGACTATATAAACCCCAAGAATCCTTTGTTCTGGGCTCAGAATTTGGAGACTGACTCCTCTGGGCCCGTGCATGTAATAAACTTCTCGTGTTTTCCACTGTCTCCTCTCGATGTGAGCTTCTTCCCGCAACATGACTACAGTCCAGGAAGACAAACAACCCAACTTAATAATGGGCAAAGGACCTGAACAGGCAGTCTCCAAGGAGGACATACAAAGGGCCCAGACATACATGAAAGAATGCGCAGCATCACTAGCCTTTGGAAAGATGCAAATTAAAACCACTATGATATACTGACAGGAAACTCAAGACTTAGAAAATTTTAGCTTAAGGTAAAAAGTTAGAAGTCTAGCAAGTAATGTGGGTGTTAAAGCTTTTGTTTCAGAAACTACAGATAAGGCCTGTCCTGGCTTCTGGGAAACAGCAGGTCCCTTGGGGCACTGATAGAAGATTACCGCCTGGGGACCTTTGAACCTTTGTTCCTGGGAGAGCAGAGGACCACCCTCGCCTGGGAACAGCTAACTGCACAGAACTGGAATGCTGAAGCTTATCTCACCTAATCCTGCCTGAATTTCAAAGCCTTCACCACCCGTTGTTTATCCACTCAACCCCACCTTGGAAAAGATCTGGCCTGGAAAGAAAAGACAAGGTGGTTTGTTAGGGTATGAACCCGCCATCCTTTCAGATCACAAGCCATCTGAATGAAGCACCCATAAAAGACTGAATTGCTGTCATTGCTTATAGGGTTTGGTAGTGACAGGCAGCCCAAACGCTGGTGTCTTTTCTGGTTACAATACCACTTCACACCATTCAGAATGGCCATCATAAACAAATCAAACAAGTGCTGGTGAAGCTGTGGAGAAAAGAGAAGCCTAGTACATTGCTGGTGGGAATGCAGACTGGTGCAGCTACTGTAAAAAACAGTATGGAATTTCCTCAAAGAAACTAAGAATGAAACTGCCTTTTGACTGCATAATTCCACTGATGGGATTACACACTAAGAATCCCAAAACGCCAATTCAAAAGAACATATGTACCCCAATGTTCATAGCAGCACAATTTACAAGACCCAAGTGCTGGAAGCAACCTAAGTGCCCATCAGGAAATGAATAGATCATTTAGATAAAACTATGCTACATTTACACAATGGAATGCTACCCAGTAGAAAGAAGGAGCTCCTACCCTTTGCAACAACTTAGAGGAAGTGGAGAGCATTATGCTAAGTGAAATAAGCCAGGAGGTGAGAGACAAGTACCATCTGATCTCACCTATAAGTGGAAACTAATCAACAAAACAAGCAAGCAGGCAAAATGCAACCAGAGACACAAATAAAGAAGAAAATGACAGTAGCCAGAGGGAAGGTGGAAGGGGATAATAGAGGGGAAAGGAAGAAGAATTTGTGGGAACATGTACTCAAGGACAAAGCCAAGGGCAGTAAATTCAGGAGTGGGAAGCTGGGATGGCTGGAGTTGGGGAGAGTGGCGGTGGGGAAATGGAGACAACTGTACTTAAAGAAGTAAAAATTTTACAAAACTCTGAAACCCATCCCTGAGGAGGTAGCCCTGGGTGTCATCTGAGTCTTCCTTTTGTAATTTTCTTTAGTACATTTTGTCATCTTTTTCTACCCCTCTCTGGAGGCTATCCCCAACACATAGTTAATAATTCCTTAAATCATCCCTGGTTTCTTTCTCCTGACTCAATTGGCATACACACCTCATTAGCCTGATACATTCAGTCCTAATTTTCATCCTTCAAAGGCTGGACAAAATTATACTAAAAATGTGTCTATAATTATTCATATTATTTTAGACAGAAATAATAGTACATAATATTAAAATTCATAATTTATACTTAATAAATTTTAATAAGTAGAACGATTTAAAAATGTTTCATATGCACCTGGATATATGTTGTAGACGATCGGCGGGTAAATACACACTCTTGGAGTCTGGAACCGAATTGATAAAATTTTAATGGCCAAAGATTTTTCCTGCGCAGGGGCGAACTTCCCCAACTGTGACCGGAGTCACGTAGCTACTCAGAGCTACAAAATGGAAGTCGCGCCTGGCTTACAGACTACTGGGTATTTATATTTTCTAGCAAGCAAGCAAAGGCATACAGAAGCAGAAGTGGCGGTTAGCTATTGGCTTATTTAAAAACGGCAAGGGTCCCTGATTGGTGGGTGCTGCTGCTGGTGGGCACTTTCTGGCGGGCCAGGTTAGTTACCTTATTTGGCTAGAATTTTAAACCCAATTGTTCCCGGATGTTTGTTCATTACCCTGTTCCAGGAACTGCAGATTTAGGGTTGGGTAATGCTCTAGTTGTAATTTTCCTAGCTGGGTATAACAGATATATATTTTAAAGATTAATATATACAAATTTTAAAACAATTTTGCAATACCAAAGATGAAGCATCAAAGTATGGACTTTAAGTGACTACAATGTGTCAGCACAGACTCACTCTCAGTAACAAAAGTCCCATCTGCTAAGTGATGTTGATAGTGGGGACGCTCTGCATGCAGGGGATCATGGGAAATGTCAGTACCTTCCTCTTATGTTTGTGGTGAAAATAAACCTGATCTCAAAATAACTTACTAAAAATCAGTTTTACAAAAGCAATTGTTCAAGAAACTGGAAATATGTTCTTTAGGGATGGTGAGAGGAACATTATACTACATTTGTATAAGCTATCGTGCCTGGTGCTTACAAACATATGTTTTGTTTTCTAAACAGGATTTAGAATAGAACATGTGGCTGTGGAAATCCGCACATACACAATTCTTGTCCAACTTGGAAGTTTTTGAAAATCTGTAATGCAGAGACAATAAATCATTAATCTGGTAACATATAACTTAATATTTTAATAAATAATTTATGTCCGGTAATATTTACATATTAAATCTGAATATTTCTTAAAATTTTTCATAAAAACATTTAAATATTTGTTCATATACTTGTTCACACATTGCTTTTTATTTTTAAGATTATTCCTGATTTGAAAGCATGAGGGAATATAACGTGCATTCTAAAGAAACTTACAGTCTGGAAGAGAGAGTTGTGCCAGTTGTCCACACCCAAGAATTATTATTATTTCTCTGGGACAGTCCAGTCCATACAAGTATTTTGGAAAAGTTCAACAAATTCTATGAGAAAACAAATGTTATGATAAATTAAGTAAAATTAATTTGTATTTGTAAAAACAGTTAAAGTTGGCTCACAGTTAGAAGGGGAGGTGACAGCTAAGTAAACTGCACAGCCTACCAACATCTGGTGACATTAGTGAATAAGCAATCAACCCCCCATCCTGCACTCTAGGAATTGTGGGTCACCTCACCCAGCCGGCCCAGCATGTCCAACACCCAAAGACCATGGACCTTGTGTAGAAAAATAAGGGACTCTGAATCAACATGGATCACGTCAAGAATCACCTGAGTTGCAACAACAGCTGCAGCAGAACCAACAATATTCTAAACAATGGGCTGAAGAAACAGGTTAAGTCCATGAACCAGTCCCTATCTCCTCCTACCACCCTCAGTGAACAGCGTGAAAGGAAAATACAGGTTATTTCTTAGTGGCTGAATTCACAACATCACTGACCAACTCCCCAAAGCCCAGCAGCTGAGAAAGGGAAAGAGTGTTTTGCATGAGTGGAGAGCCTGCACCAGAGCATCTGGTGGAATTCCTGAGGAGAGTTCAAGGAAAGGAGTCATGTGTTCTGGAACAGCCAAACTCACCCTCAAGGTCAGGTACAGGATAAAGGAATTACAGAAGGTAACCTCCACCTTATTCATGAGAGAGTCTTCTCTTAGGCAACTGGTAGCTGATATTATGGATATTAATAAACTTTTCAAAAGTCTGGGGATGATAATTCATGAAAAAAGAGGTGTGGTCACATTAGAAGCCAACGTTGAAAATGCAGGGGTGCATGTGCAACAAGCCGACCAGCAACCATCAAGGGCAGCACAACATGAGAAAGAGAACCCTGCATGCTGCTGTGGGATGCACAAGACCTTAAAGAAAACTACAAATCTACAACTGTGCTAGCATGAGAGAATAAAACAAAAGTCTAAAGCTTTTTATTTTATTTTATTTATTTTTAAGGCTTCAATTTATCTATTTTAGAGAGAGAGGAAGAGAGGGAGAAAGAAAGGGAAACATCAATTGGTTGCCTCTCCTGTGCTGGATCCCAGATCAATCCTGCAGCAACACAGGCACCTGCCCTGACTGGGAATCGAACCTGTGACATTTCCCTTTATGGAGCAATGTCCAACCCACTGAGCCACACCAGTCAGGGAAACCTTTGTATTTTAAATGACTGCATTATAAGCCTTTTGCCTTTGCTTTTATTTCTATGTTGAGGATTTGAATGCAGGTTTTGTTAATATTAAACACTGAAAATGATTTTGGACACTAATAAATTTGCCTTAGAAAAATGTGACAGTGATATTTTCAGAGAACTTATTTTGAAAAGCTACTATTTAAAAAATTGTTTTTTCTTTACCAGTCACATTTGATATTGTTTTGGATACCTTGAGAGGTGACCACCCCAGTGGATCTGGGGCCCATGTGACACCATGTATATTTATTAGAATATTGTTGACCATATTCTCCATGTTGTGCTTTGCATTTTTGTAACTGTTTTCAAAACTGGCAATTTAAACAAGAATTACTTGATAGAAGTTTCAAAATTCAAATTTACAAGCTTTTTAGCTACTTTTAGTTTTTATGCATAGGTAATCATTTTTTACCATTCTACATTTAAAAACATGAGATATATACAATTAAGTCACTTTCTTTTTTAAATTAATGTGATTGTTTGTTTTGTTTGTTACTTTATTTTCATTGATATGAGAGAGAGGTAGAGCACAATCACTTAGTCCACTTAGTGTGGCATTTCTTGGGAGCTTCCTCTTTGTGCACGATGGGGCATCAACCAGCACCCTGAGTGTATTCAGATGATGCTCTAACCAGCTGACCTACTCAGACTGGACTCCTGTCAATGATGTTTTAACATGCTAATCAGAATATAGAAAGAGAATCATATTGGCTATAGTTTGTATTTTACAGTATTCTTATATAGCAGTTTGACAAAAGCAATGTTGTATAGGGCAAGCTATGAGACTTCAATGGAATTAAATAAAATATTAAGTAACTAAATTGTACATTTGCAACCTAAATAAAGATGATTTCAAAAGTGAAAAACCAAATACGGTTATTTTTTTTAGGTTAGAGTGACTCAATTTATAATACAGTTTTATATACTGGACACATTGAGAAAATGCATTAGCATGATTAGGTGAACGGCAAACACTGCAATTTTATACCTCTGAAATTTAATCAGTAAAAATAACATGAGTATTTACTATTGGAGAAAGCAGCTAAACATGCCAGTAAGAATGGATTAAATGTGTAGTCTTCTTGTCTGAGACTGCTCCCGTGTCTTCCCCGGTCCCCATCGCAGTTCATGAGTAAGAAGTGTAATTCTTACTGTTTGAGGAATGCTGAAACATCACTGGTGTTGCCAGGGGAAGTCTGATTACTTTGGAAATGGCAGTTACAGTGCCCACTCCCTTTTCAGGTCAAAGTACTGCATTTACTAGGCTAAAAGTAAGACAGACCATCCTTTTTCTAGTCCACTTGTGTGGATCATAGTGCCAGCTATAAATATAACAGGACAGTACTCAATGTGAGACAGTGTAAGAGATGATATTAATTCTCTACACCTACTTGGTTGATGGGAAAAAATTGACACTGTATAGAAAAAAGCAAAGATAATCCTGTAAAAAAATAAGCCACAGGTGACTGGAGAACTAATTTTTAAATTATGAGTCCTCCCTTACAAACAAACACACACACACACACACACACACCCAAGTACATCAAATAGCAGAGAGTGAAGCCATACTGACTGAGGTATTTGAATAAATTTTTAAAAATTATTGGTTGTCAATAAGCAATGCAGGCCCAAGGGAAATCCCAGTAATTGAATCTAAAAATAAAATAATAACAAGAAGTTTAAACTTAGTAAGTATACTTCAAAAGAGATAACTCTGCAGTAATAGTTTACTGAAATTACAAAAATATAAATCTAATAAACATGTAGGAGGATCCATGTTTATTATACCATAGTACTGAAAATGTGGACTTAGCAAAATTTTAAAACCATGCAAAGAACTAAAAATACCTCCCATACTCAGGCATATAGTCAGCTACACAATATAATTTTCACTGGGATAAAATGTTGGATTTTTATACAAGTATTTAATATTAGTCATTATAAATATATATTTACCTAAAATGTATTTTAAAAACTATGTTCAAATAACTCTATGGAAATATGATGGGACTGAGAGAAAAATTAGGGAAATAAAAACTGTATGAATGAATCAAATAAAATTATCAGTTGAAAAATCATTATATACATTACAAAATTCAATACATTTACATAAATACTGAGATGTAGAAGAAAGAATTGATGAAACAAAGATGAAGTGATAGGAATAATTAATACCTGAGAGTAGAGAGAAAGACAGAGAAAACTAATGGAGCCTCAGAGACCTTTACAACTTTATTAGTAAAACCAACATCAGTGTAATTATTGCCTGAGAACAAAGAGACAGAAAAAGACCAAAAATAATTTTGAGACACAATGAATGATCATCTTCTTAAATTTTATGTTAAAATATACAAACCATGTATATAAAGTTGTTTATGTAGAAAAGATCATCTGCTATAAATTATGCCACATCAACTAGGTAATGATGCAGAAAAGTGTGAACTTGACCTCTACCACACAGCATCACAAACACGGCATCACAAAATTACAATTCTCAAAGTATTATAAACTTAAAACTAAAAGTCTATCAATAAAGAAAAAAGATAAACCATAAAGAGTAATGCAGTAGATTGTCTTCGTGAACTTTAACTAAGTTGTGAAATGTGTCCAAAATAACCACCAACATCTAAAATGAGATATTGGACCATGGTAACATGGATAAGTCCTGGTTATTAAAAGACTCCAATGTCAGAAGAAAAATCTAATGAACAGTCATGAAAGCCATTTGCATCTTACAAATTCGAAAAAGAGTCATATCTAAATGATAACTACTTCTAAGGAGAAAAATTAAAGGTAACAAACAGAAGAAATGGTCAAGAGACATGAATGGGCACTTCTCATTTTCACAGTGCAGAAATTCATCATGAATGGTGCTCTGAAAGGTGTGTTCAATCGATCAGTATGAGGAAAATATCTATTAATGTCATAATGATTCTTTTAGATATGATCAGAACTGATGGCATTAAAATTCCTGGCAGTACTAAGCTTTGCATCATGAACTATTGGATATAATGTATATTTATACAACAAACTAGAAATAGGGATAATTTACATACACATATATTTTTGACCCTGCAATTTTGATCTGATGCAAAAAGGCAATACATTTTACTTATACACATATACCATTAGAACAACTATATTTATAAATTATTATATTATTATAAACATAAAATTTATGGTATATCAATTTATACATTGTATGTATTATAGTATACAATTTATTTTAAATATATGTTATTTGGAAAAAAGACATACACAAGAATTTTTATTAAATAATTATTCATAATAAGTGCACATTAAAAACATCTCTTATCAACAGATAATTATTCAACAGAATATTAAATCTGCTGAGCAATAGATTAAAGAATGCCAGGTATATACATTATAGTAGTGAACATTTAAAAACTTCAGGTAAATGCAATAATATGGATTAATTGAAAAACTATCATGTGGGAGTTCATGGAAATATGTAAAATGCATAATGAATGATTCCCATTATATAAAATTCAAAATTAAGCAAAGATAATTGTGATATAAAATATCAGAGTAGTGGTTAAGTGAGGGGAGAGGAGAAGTTATGAGCAAGTGCCCACAAGGAGGCTGGCAACATCTACTTCATGATCCAACTTCAGTTTGTAACACACACAATCATATCTATAGTCTCTGTGATACATGGTACAATGAAGGAGCCAAGTTTAGAAAAAAAGCACTTACAGAGGCCTGATTGTCTATGAAAATCAAGAACGGCAAATTATCAAATGCACATTAATGGCATAACATATAAATGAAATATTATAGTCAAACAATAAAATACTAACAATCTTTACAATAAATTACAGATTTGTACAAAATATGACTGAATTCTATAGAAATATAAAATAAAATACTCTTTTAAATAAAATGTTGGGAACATTAAAAACCTTACCATTTCTTCTTCATTCTCTATATAGAGCAGGCTAGATTTCTTAGCAGCACAGGCCATGAAACTCTCATTCCATGTCTTTTTTTCAGTGCTGATGTAGTAGCAGTTGTTGAAATACATTAACCACTCTGGTGGACATCGACCACAATTATATGCTGAGGAAAGATTATGTGTTGTCATCCAACAACAAAGTAAATTTTAAAATAAAAATTAATTTCATATTTGCTTGGGTATAGACAAATTAATGCACAATATATGCATATAACCTCACACAGTGGCATATATTAGGCACAACACACTCACACACACTCACACACACTCACAGAGAAGGGTCAGCCCCTCACTCCCTAATTCATGTGCCCATATGAAGCAAACACAAAACAAAAATATCCACTTTCTGTATGTCCTGAATGTCAATGAATGAAACCACATTTTTAGAAACCAAAATTATCTTTGAACCAATTGGCAAAAGTAAGTATGATAAATTAAATTAATATTTCTTCATATTGTTATATAAGTAATACACTCTTTTTACTCATTATTTATGTACATTTATCACCCAGTATTATAATATATGTTTCCACCAACAACAAAAAAAAACTAAATTTTTACTGTGTTAGAGACAAGGTAGAAGCTGTATTGAAATCGGAATATAAAAAATAATTAGGTACCTTTCTGGTTCCCTGTTGTCTGGTTCCCTGTATGGTTCCCTGTTAAAATAACATATAATTTATATTATGTAGAAGAAAGAAGAAGTATTCTGCACCAGTATTACTTAGCTAGAAAAACAAGTAATTATTATAAAAAGGTAATGTTGATTTACATAAATCATAATACTTTTGTTTCTTACTTTGATTTGTGGTACATTGTCCAGGATTAAAATGGCCTGAATAAAATTGATTTTACCAAGAAAAATTAATGAAACTATGATAATTTGGGGGAAATATTTCAAAAGCCTTCAGAACAAAACTTCACTATCTCTTAGAGTCTTGGTCTAATCAATATGAAGAATTTTCTTGGATTTTCCAATGAAGTGTCTTAAAGAATGTCTTGAATTATTACACAAATATATATATTTATTTATTTATAAATTACTCTCTAAAATTGTTCTGATATTTATACCTTGGATAAATTTTGTGCACAGTAACAATTTTGCTCCTAGTCTATAGCATACTTTAAAATGAGACTTCATTCTACAATATTATGCAGTGTTTAGAGGCTCTGATGAACATAAAAATAATGAATTTTTCACTGAATACAATTTGAATTACAAAAAAACAAAAATTATCCTATATATATGCATAGGTATATACATATATCTATGCACACTTACAAGCTGGTACATATAAAACAAACAGTATTCACATAAATCATGCAGATTGGTCATCTTTCATCCCCTGATATTTGTGCCCACATCAAAAAACACATAAACAAATACATCCATTCTCTAATGCCTAGGACATCAGTGAATGCAACCACTTCTTCTGTAGCAATGCAATGTTACTTGTTCATCTTTTAGAGCCATAGGACATATAAGCCAATTGGTCTCAATGGGTGATTTAATTTTATTCATTTTTTTTTTGATCCTCACTTGAGGATAAGCTTATCAATTTTAAGGAGACAGGAAGGAAGAGAAAGAGAGAGAGAAACACTGATATGAGAGAGAAGCATTGATGAATTGCCTTCTGTACATGTTGTGAATGGGGATCGAACACACAACCTGAGTATGAGCCTTGACCAGGAATCAAACCTGCAATCTTTTCAGCGTGTGGGATGACATTCGAATCAGCTGAGCCATTGAGGCAGACACAGACATGGTAATTTTAAATATATACTACTTCATAGTGCATGAGAAATATCACTCTCCTATAATCATTATTTATGAACATTTACTGCCATTTTTTATAATTTATATTTTCCCTCACAAAATATATAAATGTGTGCATTCTCTAAAATAGAGAAAATATAACCAGTACTAAAAACAGAACTTTAAAAATCATAATGTATCTTTTTCCTTCCTTGATGCTGTGGACAAATTGCTCCTCCCCAGTTTTACAGTGCCTAGAAAATGTTACGGTGATTCTCAAAGTAAAAATCAATGCTGATAGAATTAAAATATCACAATTTTAGTTTCTTAGTTTGAAATGTTGTGTGTTGTTTAGGAGCAGCAAAATCTGAAGTAAAATTTGTTTGACCAAGAAAAATTAATACAATAATGTTGTAGATTTATGGGGAAAATATTTCAAATGACTTTTTATCATATTTTACCATTCCTAAAAATATTGGTTTAACCAATCTCAAGATATATTTGTATTTATCAAGAAGGTCTTTTAGTTTCCTAGTGCATATATTTGAGTAATGAAGTGAAAATATACAAAAAGATGTTAAAAGGCTTTTACAATCATTCACTTATTATGTACTTGACAAATTCAGAATAACTTTCCACATTTATCTAAATGCTTACTTTAAAAGGAGGGCTCTATTCTATAATATATTAAACTCTTTAGAGGCACTGAGATACATTAAAGTGAGAAGTTCTCTTAAAACATTTCAAAAACTTACTCACACAGAATAATTCTCACTATACTGTAGAGCAAGACAAAGCAGATGACTCCCAGGATCCCAGCAATGAGCTTCCCTGGTGGGGATGGTGAATCTGCAGCAAGAGAGAAACAAATGGAGACATTGGTTGGGCTGATTTCAGAGAGAAACCAAATGAACAGGAATCACATAAATAAACTTGAACCATCCCCAAACCAAGTCTTCCACTGCAATCTGCCCCCCAGATTATAGCACTGCCTTGTCAGGAAATATAATCCTCCCTGACTTACTGGTCAAAGACTGCACCCTACAACGATGTCTGAAGAAATCAGTCCTCAGATTCCATATTAAGACACTGTTTTGCAACTTTAAGCTCTGATCTTTACAAATGAAAAAATAGGTCAGCTAATTCCTTACCCTTTATCCCCCCACTTCTTCACACCAACTGCACATCCTAGAACAGTTCTACTGTGTGTCTGTTAAATGAGTCACCTGTGCAATGGTTCTTGTCATTCCCTTGAAGATCTTGAGAAGCTTTTTGAAACTCTATTTCCACAGAGGACATTTGCTGTTCAGTTTGTAAAATGGAACTTTTCATGCCCTTGCCTTTCCTCTGCTGTCTCTGGGGGTCCTTAGCCAGATTCAGTTCTGAGTGGTTTTCTCCTTGGAGATCCATCTCTGCAGCTGAGTAATGTCAGGGATGGTGCCTGTGATGACAGTGCTTCAGTGTGAATACGTGATGTGAATGACGACGAGATGCCCAGGAGAGTCAGTGTGGGTGGAGTGTGAGAGAAGAAATAGTACGCACCTTGCATTTGACCAACGTGAAGTCTTGTTCTGATTGACTTAGAAATTTAAATAGCTGATTCTGAGAGAATAATGGTTTTTAAGATGATATTCTATATTTGACATGATATTATTGGTTGAAGCAGTGAAAAGCAACAAGTTAGCGAAGCATAAAATAGGTCAGACTAATATCTTTATAAAGTCAGATTCCACTGAAACATTCTAACACTGTTAGAATAACTGTGAAAAGTAAAATGCTGCATGAAAATGACAATGCACCAATTTTAATGACAATTTTTAAATCTAATAATGTTTAAAGATTGAGTGTTCTAAAGTTGGAGGAATAGTCGTGCTCACATGGTAATTAACTGTAACAAATTAATGTAATTCAGTCACTTACAATTATGAGGCCAAAGGACAGAAGAGGTGCTATCAAATATTTTATTTTGAATAATTGTAGACTTCTGAGAGATCAGTTAATTTTTAATAAAATTTTATATGTTGAAAGTGTTACATGACATACTAAAGTTACACAAGCTCAATAAATAATAAAAGCAATAGATCATCAAAGGATTATTTAACACACTTTACACCAGTAACTTGTAATTTATTTAATGGTTAAGGTATGAAAACACACACAATGACAAAGAAATGTGTTGCAGATCATTTATGGAGGAACACTGGTGCTGCAAATGTCCAGAAAGACCCCATGGCTGTCCAATTCTGTGAAGGTAGCTTCACTGCGCAGTAAAATGTAATAGATCAGAAAATGGAACTTAATAAATCAGTCATTGGATGCTGCAGTCAGTGACATTTGGAATACAGAGTTTGAAATTCACAATGCATGACATTTAGTAATTAGTGTCTAGCAACCTAGTTTGCTAATTAAACTGGGAGTCACTGTACTTCAGATTTTGCTGCTCCTAAACAACACACCACATTTCAAACTAAGAAACAAAAATTGTGGTGTTTTAATTCAATCAACATTAGTTTTTATTTTGAGAATCACCGTAACATTTTCTAGGTACTGTAAAACTGGGGAGGAGCAATTTGTCTACAGCATCAAGGAAGGAAAAAGATACATTACGATTTTCAAAGTTCTGTTTTTAGTACTGGTTATATTTTCTCTATTTTAGAGAATGCACAAATTTATATATTTTGTGAATGAAAATATGTGAGATACAATGCATGTAAAACACTTAATACTTGATCTGACATTTAGAAGCTTTCCAAAGTTACTTACTTTAATTATCATAACACAATTGCCATGCTAATCTTTTTACTTACACCAGACGGTGTAACAATTCCTGCCACAGGAGTCTCTTATCAATGTGGCATCTCTTGTTACAATGTTTTGTTCAATTTCTAAAAAGGTTTTGATTGTTTATAATTAAGTTTAACCATTTTACAGAGATTACTAAATCTTGATTTTTACTGCAAGTCAAACAGCTTTTATTTAACTAAAGTGCATTTTGAAATTATATTTGACCTTCATGATTTGATGAATTCATTTTAAGAATCTTTTTATGGTCTGGATTAACTATAAAGTAGTATATATATATATGTATGTGTGTGTATACACACACACACACACACACATATATATATATAATCTGTTAATTACAAAACCCAAAGTTAACTGCTCCTTGTCATGATGCTTACAGTTTTTCATTTAAGTTATCCCGATTTTCAAAATGAAATATGCATGTGGTATGTTTGTTAGTAATTTTGGAGAGGCAAAATTTTTAATTTTTTTCATATTTTACTCTTTACCATAAAGTATACGAAATGAATACCAGTGTTTTCTTTGACTTGATTGTATGTTAATTGTAATTCATTTGTATCACATCCAGCATTTGCACTTTCCCATTAAACGAATCGGGTCAGTAGGGAGACAGGAGAGTAGAGACACTCACCTCTGGGAGCCAGAGTGTCCTGCATCCTTCACAGGAGACCTGATGGCTTCTGTGGACAAGCAGTGTCTGCGGTCCTCACACATTGCCCCTTGAACACTGAGACTGAAGCAAATGAGAAAAAAAGTAGATTTCTCATCACTGTGTCACTTAAAGTTTGAACAGGAAATTCTTACACTTGGGCAGTTTTAAGATGGCTTATCTCATCACACACCTCCAGAATATAGGAGACTGGAGTGTCATTTAGTTTGTGCATTTGTAAGTGTGCCTGAGAAATCATCTGCATATTCCCAAAGATTTCTGGGACAAGAAACTTGTCCACTCTACTGTTAACTCACTTACATCTTAAAATTTACAAACACTCAAAATTTAGGCCTGTTAAGAGTATCTTAAATGTTTTAGTCCTACTCTTGGACAGTGTTGCTAAATACAAGCATTACTTAAATTTACTTATACATTTCTTGTCTCTCAGTTATAATGGAAAAAAATAATCATAATCCCATTAGCAATAGGTACTCAATGATTTTTCTCAGTAATATTCTGAGGAATGACTGCATTTTCAACTTAGGATAACTGTCACAAAATTAATACCCAAGCTTACCTCTTCAACTTGTCTGCCCTCATTTTTTAAAAAATTACTGAATTAAATTGGTCATTTCTATATGAGGAATTTATATTTTCCCTGATAAAGATAAATGCCTCAGAAGGAGAAAACATTAAACAACATTGTACTATACTATAATGTAAGGATGGAAATATTAAATTGATACTCATATTATTCATTAATTGATCCACCAATCATAAATAGCTACCTATATTTTAATAGAAATATTTGTTGTAAATGAGAAAAGCTAAAATATAACTATGTAGGATGAAAACAAATGCAATTAAAAAAATTTAACCTAATCAAAATAGAAGATGGCAGAAAAAGTAGTTTCAAAAACAAGTGAAATTACACATGAATCTCAGAAGAAAATAAACATTAAATGTGAGTCATCTAGTGTGTATCAAATGGAATTATTTTCATCCAGCTCATATCGTATCAAGAAAAGAGGAAATGTTTATCTATTACCTGTAGTGAGTTAAATGAAAAGTACCATGTGGTCCAGCAATCCCACTTCCGGGTGTTAATCCAAAGGGACACAATTATTATGAAGAAGCATCTGTATTCCCAGGTTCCTTCAAGCATTATTCACCTTAATCAAGGTATGAAAGCAACCTAAGTGTGTTTAATGGATGAATAAAGTTATACACACACTTACACACCCAATGAATTATTTTGAGCCATGAGAAAAATTAATTGTTCTCACTGATGACCAAAATGAACCTGAAGGCATTTTCCTAAGTGAAATAACTGAGACAAAGAAAGACTAATGCTGCATGGTATCATTTATATGTGAAATTTAAAAATGACCAACTCAGAGGCTAATGGTTGTCAGGGGCCGAGAGTAAGACTATAAGGAGAAGTTGGTAAAAGGCACAAACTTTCACTAAGAGGAAGAAGCCTAAGGATCTAATATATCACATGGTGGCTACAGTTGACAACAGTGTATCACATTATTGAGGTTCACTCAGACACTGATCTGAAATGTTCTTACCAAAAGGTGGAAGAACCAAGGGGGAATAGGTAACAAATAAACCACAGATTGTAAAACTTTCAATTTGATGTCTAACCCTGATACACATGAGAATGTTCTAAAAGATTATTCTAAAAATTGGTAGGTACAAAATCATCATGAGGATGTAAAGGATAGGAAATATAGTTGATCATATTCAAGTAATCACACAGAGTGCTGGCTGGGGACTAGACTTATTCAGGGATCACTTCGCAAGTTATATAAGGGTCTGACCACTATGCTGTACAACTGAAACTACTCTACAATGACATTGGGTGTCAACTGTAATTGAAAAATAAAAATTAAAGTAAAATTGAATTTGCAAAAATAAAAAGACATTCTGTAATATGGTTTGATCTCATTGTATAGATGCAATTTTTGAAACCCCATGGACAACATCATTACTTATTACCTGTTATATTCTGAAAATAATTGAGGTCAGAAAATCATGGGATGAAATGTATGGTCTTTAAACCATGCAATTTATCAACACAAAAGAACATAAAAGTCAACACACTTTTCCTAAGGCACTAATATGCTTGTGCATTTGGTTTGAAAAAAACAAAAGGGTAGCAGAAGTTTTTCTATTTGGGGAGGACAAAACAAAACTATTTAAAGTGTCAAGCTCAATTTTTGGGAAATCTGTTTTTTAATTTACTTAGCAAATAAAATCAAGAAATACGTTTATAGCATCAAAGTTTATTTAGATTACAGCACTGGAGAGAGAAACCATCATCTGACTGATGTTTTTACTTTGCAAGCAAATGGCTTAGCTGTGTCTATTCATCTAAAGTGAGTTATCTGGGAAATATCCAATCAAGAGAAAATGATGCAGTCTCAGGTATGACATACGTTGCCATTCTTTTTGTCATTATTTTTTCTCTGCTTTTCACTGCATCCCTAAATTGTGAAAACCAATCAATGTTAGGGTAGTGAAAACATGGCCTTATACTTAGAAACAGAAATAGGCAAAGAATCACCATTTGCTCTGGTCTCTCTACTTCTTTTTTAAGATCTTATTTATTTACTTTTAGAGAGATGGGAAGGAGAGGAGAGAGGAAAAGAAACATAATGTCTGGTTGCTTCTCACACACCCCCTACTGGGGACCTGGCTCACAACCCAGACGTGTGTCCTGAGTGGGAAGCAGGGACCATTTGGTTCCCAGGCTGCCACTCAATCCACCGAGCCACACCACTCAGGCCATAGTCTCTCCACTTCTTACGTGGTTAGTACAAAAGCATCTTTTAAACAAATCATATGCTTGCCAGGTGCTGAATGTTATGAAGGAACTATGGAAAGTGTAGTTGGTCATCTTAAGTGGGTAATAAAACAGACACATTATAAAATATACAGATTGTAGCTCTCAGTGTTTGAAAAGGAGGTATAATAAACATAGGATTTGCCTTCAAATCAATTTAAATTTTGATAATTTTTGTTTTTCCAATTACAGTTGTCCAATTACAGTTGTCTCAATTCCCACCACCCCTTTGTTCTCCCCTGCCCCACCTACTCCTGCTTCCACAGTCATTTCCCACTCTGTTGTCTATGCTCATGGGTCCTTTATACACATTTCTTCACTAGACCCTTCCTTTTCTTTCTCCCAATATGTCCCTCTCTCATGCTCTCTGGTCACTGTCAGTTTGTTATTTCCATGTCTCTAGTACTATTCTGTTCATTGGTTTTGTTGATTAGGTTCCACTTATAGGTGAGATCATACGTTGTTTGTCTTTCCCCATCTGGCTTATTTCACTTAGTATAATATTCTCCAGTTCCATCCATGCTGTCATAAAGGGTAGGAGCTCCATCTTTCTTTTTGCTGCATAGAATTCCATTGTGTGAGTGTACCACAGTTTTTTGATCCACTCATGTACCAATGGACACTTCATCTGTTTCCAGCTCTTTCCTATTGTAAACAGAGCCACTATGAACATAGGGGTACATTAGTTCTTCTGAATAGGTGACTCAGGATTCCTACAGTATGTTCCCAGCAGTGGTATTGCTGGGTCCAAGGCAGTTCTACTTTTAGTTTTTTAACAGCAATTAATATTGAAAAAGAAGGCAACAGCATAAAATGGAGTAAATAGCCTCATCAATAAATGGTGCTGGGAGAACAGGACTGCTACATGTAAGAAAATGAAACTAGACCACAAACTTATACCATATACAAGAATAAAGTCAAAATGCATAAAAGACAACTATAAATTGTGATACCCTAAAAGTCCTAGAGGATATCACATGCAGGAGAATTTCAGATATCCCATGCAGCGATACTTTTTGCCAATATATCTCCTAGTGCAAGGAAAATTAAGTAAAAGTAAACACATCAGAATACATCAAACTAGAAAGCTTCTGCATAACTAAAGAAACATCATCAAAATGAAAAGAGAACTGACTGTACAGAAAAATATATTTTCCAATGACACATCAGACAAGGGTGTGATCTCAAAAGTATATAAATTACTCATATGAATAAAAACCAGGAAGACAAACTATCCAGTTAAAAAATGGGCAGAAGAGCTAAATAGACACTTCTCCAAGGAGAATACACAGAGGGCCCAGAGACGTATGAAAAAATGCTCAATATCACAGCCATAAGAGAGGCAAATTGAAACCACACTGAGATGTCACCTCACACCTGTCATATGACCGTCAGCAATAATACAGTGAAAAACAAGTCCTGGTGAGGATGTGGAGAAAAGAATCCTAGTGCACTGCTGGTGGGAATGCCCCATGCTTGGAGACATGGATTCTCAGTGGACTGTTGCTGCTGGTTTTAAGAGGACACTCTCCCAGTCTCTTCTGAGAGTCTTCGCATCAGACTCCCAACATTTAACAAACACATGGTTGGAACTGAGCTTTTAGAAACAGCAAACCAAATACTGTCTCCAGTTACAACGATACTCAAACAAAAGATTTAGACATTGTCCCTGGCTGGTATGGTTCAGTGCATTGAGTGCTGGCTTGTTAACCAAAGTGTTGACGATTCAATTCCCAGTCAGGGCATTTGTCTGGATTGCACGTCCCGTAGGGGGTGTGAGTGAGGCAACCACACATGGATGTTTCTCTGCCTCTCTTTCTGCTTCCCTTCCCCTCTCTCTCAAAATAAATAAATAAAATAAAAAAGATTTAGACATTAACTTGCTTTTTTTTAGTCATTTTGTACAATCTCATCCCCACACTCCTCCAACCCTGAATTACCCTCTGCAACAAGCCAAGAAGGTGACTTTATCTAATAGGGCCTTTGCAAATGCAAACAAATTAAGATAAGGTCAAGCTCCTGTAGGAAGGACCTTAACTAATGTGTATGATATCCTGTAAGAAGAAGGTTTGGACCCAGAGAAAGACATGCAGGATGAGAACAATGAGATGACAGAGGCAGAGACTGGAGTAACGTGTCTTGAAGCCAAGGGATGCCAAGGACTGAGGGCTCCACCCAACAGTGAGAGAAGTGCATGGTCCAGAGTCTCCCGCGGATCCTCACAGAGAAGATAGTCCTGCTGACCCCTTGATTTCAGAGGTTACCCTTCCAACGGTGACAGATTAAATATTGTAGGTGCAAGTCAGAAAACATTAAAATACATAAGTGGAAGATTCATGGGCAGGGACAACAGGGTGGGAATAGACTTCAGGGTGGGTGGGCAGGTCTGGGGACAGCAATGGGGAAAATGATGGGACAACTGCAATTGAGCAGCAATAAAAATAAAAATAAATAAACAAAATCAAAATAAAATATGTTTCAATATATAAATGTTTCATAAAAGCATTTTGAACAAAATTAGAATAACTGGGAATGCCATCTGGGAGAAAACCACAATATCACTGTGTCCCACTGAGAACATGATATTCAGGTGAAGACAGGAAGTTGGTATAAAAACCAGCAACATTGATGAATTCGATGCTAATCATCACAGTACACAAGTGACATGGTCTAAACACACTCTCCATTCTCCTGGCTTGTTATTTGTTCCTCTTCCTGTTATCCACACTGCACACCTGTGGGGCAGGGCGTTTCAGACGGACTCTTCACTCTCTGTGCTGCTGCCAGAGTCACTGTGTGTCAGAGAAGCAGTTGCTGAGGTGATGGGACTTTAACCACATGCACAAGGTCACCATTTTCCCAAGGTCATCCAAACAAGTCTGACCACTTTTTTTTGGAAATATTGTTTTGAGCAACTAATTTCTTATTCAGACTTATTCCCCTGATCATTTCATTTGGTGATTTCTCCTCAAAAGTTTAATGATTTCCATTTGTTTCCCTATATTGACAAGAGGTAGTTTAAATTTGAAAAATTATTTCTATCCTTAAATGATGACTCTATTTTTGTGTAAATTGAATGTGTTAAAACACAAGGACACGTACCTGGCAGTACTGCAGCGATAACAGTGTGGCTCTGCAGTGCGTGTGGATACGTCATACTCTGACCTCTGACATTTCCACAACCCCACAGGGTCACAACTGCTGGGACACTCCTCCCTTCTGCACCTGTTTCTATGGCTGTTATTGTAGATTAGATTCTTTTTCAGTGAATCTACATTTCTTTTCTCTGACCACAATGAGAAGAGTATACTTTGCAGAAAATTAACAAGGTTGGCCACGTGTCTGGCTTGGTTAGTATAATGTTTGTGAAAGTAACAGTTTATGAGATCAGAGCACGGGCATTAAGTAGCACATTTCTGCTAGTTCTGTCAAGAGTGGCTAATCCCTGCTCTGAGAAGGTCCCATGTCAGGTAGCCCACTGTTCAGAGAATAAAAAATATAAATAAGATCTGAACCGAATCTGTGGTCTGGAGCTAAGCCCACACATGCTCAGCCTGTATCACGTGAAAGCCAATCTCACCACACATGGGTAAGTGAAAAGTTGAGTAATTTTGCAAATTAATGCTTATTTGCAAATGCCAATACAACTGGGTTGTATATAAAACAATATCAGCTATTAGATATAACTCAATACACATATCACATGAAATTAAGTTTGAATAGTCACATATTTGCTCTATATAAACATAAATAAATACAGAGAACATAAAGAAGATATATTTAAAAAATGAATATAGAAATTATTAATTCATTTTGCACATGATAAAAAAAATATAGGACCTCTCCCGTTTATAATTGAATTATAGTAAAACTACCACTCAGTGGTGTCAAATAATAAATTTCTTTCCACATTCTCTTAATGACTAATGTTTAATTCACATGCACATGTTATCTTTTTAGTTTTTATATTCTCATTTTTAACATTGTATCTTTTCTATCAGTGTAAGTTTCTAAGCATGGGAATTCAGAATGCCAAAGGGGAAAGACAAAGAGTTTAATAAAACAAGGTACCTTCAAAAATAACTAAAATCTAGTAGAGGGGAAAAAACATGTATAAGAGATATCAAAGAACACTAATTATTACCCAATGAAACTACTAGTCTCTACCAAAAAATGGCTACAATCATTGATAATGACGCACTAAATAGATTCAGAAGATATTGTGTTGGTTCTGTTGTCCCAGCAAGTGGAGTACAGTCACATGGCTGTTGTTATGGAAACCTTGGGGTTGTTGCATAGTAACAGTTAGTTCTCTCTGCTCCAAAGCTATACGCACTGCACTTTCTGAGATAATGGCACCAGATCCTACAACCTCCTCCCCAGTCAGCTGGCTTGACATTTCTCAGGAGAGGGCACTGGGAGAAAGGACTCCTCTTCCTGGTTTCAGGCTGTTTTCTCTCCTTGGCTGCAGTGCTGTGGCTGACATCTGCCTGCATGCAGGAAGTTCTTGTGGTGTTCACCCTCCAGCAAGTTATGGGACTAGTCACAGCCATAGCTCCCCTTCTCTACCCTGGGACGCTGGCGCTGTGTCAGAGAGGTCGTCCTACTTTCCAGTCACACTGTGAGATCCATCCTCACCCACATCAGCCTGCAGACTGGGACCTGCTCTCTCCTAGAGCTGCTCAGTGAACCTGTCTGCCGTAGAGTATTCTGTACTGACATGAGTCTGAAACCTATCCCTGAGGAGATACACTTGGGTCATGTGCGATTCTTCCTTTTGGTAATCTTACTTGATTAACCCTTTGGCACATTTTGTAATTTTTTTCTACTGCTTTGCAGGTTATCCCCCTAAAATACTTGAGAATTCTTTAAATCATCACTGGTTTCTCTCTTCTCACTCAACTGCCTTACACACATTGATATCCTAATATGTTCAGTCCTCATTTTCAACATTCAAAGGCTGGGGAAAGTTATATTGAAGATGTGTCTACAATTACCCATGTTATTTTAGACTTAGAAGTAACAGTGTTCGATATTATAATTCATACTTTAAACTTGATATATTTTAATTAATAACAAGATTTTGAAATGCTTCATATGCACCTGGATGTACATTTTTAAATTTTAACATAAATATACATATCAAAACAATTCTATAACACCAAGGATGAAGCGTCAGATAAAGTGCAGACTCTAAGTGACTACGATGTGTCAGCACAGACTCACTCTCAGTAACCAAGGTCCCATCTGCTGAGCGATGCTGATAATGGGGATGCTCTGCATGCAGGGGATCATGGGAAATGTCAGTACCTTCCTTAATTTTTGTGGTGAAACTAAAACTGGTTTCAAAATAATTCTTTAAACTTAGTTTTACAGAAACGATTGCAGCATTCTTGAAGAAACTAGAAATGTGTTCTTTAGGGATGGTGAGAGGAACATTATACCAAATTTAGGTCAGCTAATGTGACTGGTGCTTGCAAATATATGTTCTGTTTTCTAGACAGGATTCAGAAGAGAAGTTGTGCATCTCAGAATCCCAAAATACACAGTTGTTGTTCAACTTGGAAGTTTTTGCAAATCTGAAATGCAGAGATAATAAATCATTAATCAGATAATACATAACTTAATATTTAAATAAACAATATTGACAGTAATATTTACATAGTAAATCTAAATATCTCTTAAATTTTTTTCTAAGAAAACACTTAAATATTTCTTCACATATTGTTCACCCATTGTCTTTGGTTTCTAAGATGAATTCCTGATTTGAAAGCATCAGGGAAGAATATATACGAGTTCTAAAGAAACTTACAGTTCAGAAGAGAGAGTTGTGCCAGTTGTCCACACCCAAGATTTAGTATTATTTCTCTGGGACAGTCCAGTCCATGGATGTATTTTCAAAATTTTCAAAAAATTCTATGAGAAAACAAATTTTATGGGAAATTAAGTAAAATTAATTTGTATTTGTGAAAACAAAGTTGTCTCACAGTTATAGGGGGAGGTGACAGCTAAGTAAACTGCACAGCCCACCAACATCTGGTGACATCAGTGAATAAGCAGTCAACTCCATCCTGCAACCCAGGACTTGTTGGTCACCCCACCCAGCTGGCCCAGCATGTTCAACATCCAAAATCACATGACCTTGTGTGAAAAAATTAAGGATACTGAATAAATGTGGAACACCTCCAGAATCACCTGATTTGAGTCAACAGCTGCAGCAGAAGCAACAATACTCTAAACAAGTGGTCAAAGGAACAGGTAAGTCCATGAAACAGTAAGTATTTCCTCCCACCACCCTCAGTGGTAGAAAATAGTAAGTATGTCCTCCTACCACCCTCAGTGAAAGGCAAATACAGGTTAATTCTTAGTGGCTGAATTCACAACATCACTGACCAGCTCTCCAAAGGCCAGCAGCTGAGAAAAGAAAAGAGTGTTTTGCACGAGTGGGGAGACTTTGACAAAGCATCTGGTATAATTCCTGAGGAGAGTTCAAGACAAGGAATCTTGTGTTCTGGAAAAGCCAAACTCACCCTCAAGGTAAGGTGCAGGATGAGGGAATTACAGAAGGTGTCCTCCACCTTTTTCGTGAAAGAGTCTTCTCTTAGGCAACTGATAGCTCACATTATGGAGGTTAATAAACTTTTCAAAAGTCTGGGAATGATAATTCATGAGCAAAGAGGTGTGATGTCATAGAAGCTAAAGTTAAAAATGCAGGGGTGCATGTGCAACAAGCCAACCATCAGCCATCAATAATGGCAGAATATGAGAAAGAGAACCCTGCATGTTGCTGTGAGATGCACAAGACTTGAAAGAAAAATACAAATGTACAATGGCACTACCATGGGAGAATAAACAAAAGTCTAAACCTTTGTATTTTATTTTATTTATTTATTGACAATTCAATGTATTTATTTTTGAAGAAAGAGGAAGAGAGGGAAAAAGACAAGGAATCATCAATTGGTTGCCTCTCCTGTGCTGGATTGATTCTGCAACAACACAGGCACGTGCGCTGACTGGGAATCCAACCAGTGACGTTTCCCCTTTACCAAACAGTGTCCAACCCACTGAGCCACACCAGTCAGGGAAACCTTTATATTTTAAATGACTGTATTATAATGCTTTTGCATCTGGTTTTATTTGTATATTGAGAATTTGAATGCAAGTTTTGTTAATATTAAACAATGAGAGTGATTTTGGACACTAATAAATTGGCCTTAGAAAAAATGTGACAATGATATTTTCAGAGAACTTATTTTGAAAGCAACTTTTAAAATAATTGGTTTTTCTTTACCAGTCACATTCATTATGGCTTTGGACCTGTGTATACCTTCAGAGGTGACCACCCCAGTGGATCTGGGGCCCATCTGACATCATGCATATTTATTAGAATATTTTCACTGTATTCTCCATTTTATGCTTTCCATTGTTGTGACTGGTTTTATAACTGGCCATTTACAAAAGAACTATTTGGTAAAAGTTTTAAAATGCACAAGCTTTTAACCTATTCTTAATTTTCATACATAGGTAACGATTTTTACCATTCTTCATTTTAAAAATGTACATATATGCCAATTAACTCACTTCCTCTTTTAAATCAATGTTATTGTTTGTTGCTTTATCTTGATTGATGAAAGAGAGAGAGAAATCACTTAGTCAGTCCACTTAGTGTGTCATTCCTTGGGAGCTTCTTGTATGTGCAGGATGGGGCAGCAACCAGCACCCTGAGTGTATTTGGATGATGCTCTAACCAGCAGACCTACCAGGACTGAGCCTGTATCAATGTTGTTTTAACGTTCTAATCAGAATACAGAAAGAGAATTATACAGGTTATAGTTTGTATTTTACAGTGTTCTTACATGGCAGTTTGAAAAAGGCAATGTTGTATATGGCAAGCTATGAGACTTCAAATGGAATTAAATAAAATATTAAGTAACTAAATTGTATATTTGCAACCTAAATAAACATAATTTTAAAAATGAAAAATCAAATACAGTTATTTTTCTAGGTTAGAGTGATTCAATTTATAATATACCTTTATATATTGGACACATTAAAAAAATGTAGTAGCATGATTAGGTGAACAGCAAACATTGCAATTTTACTCCTCTGAAATGTGATCAAAGAGTAAAAACAACATGAACATTTATTATTGGAAAAAGCAGCTAGAGATCCCAATGAAAATAGAGCAAATTTGTAGTCTTCATGTCTAAGACTGCTCCCATGTCTCCCCCGATCCCCATCTCAGTTCCTGAATAAGAAGTGCAATTCTTACTGTTTAGGGAATGCTGAAACATCACTGGTGTTGCCAGGGGAAGTCTGATTACTTTGGAAGTGGTGGTTAAACTGCCCATCCTTTTTCAGGTGAAAGTGCTGAATTCACTAGGTTAAAGGTGAGGCAGACCATCCTTTTTCTGGTCTGTGTCAGCACAGTGCCAGCTATAGACAGGAAGGTACTCAATATGAGAGCACAGTACAAGAGGTGATATTAACTCTCCACACCTACTTGGTTAGTGGGAAACACATCTTCACTGTACAGAAGAAACAAAGATAATCTGGTAAAACAATAAGCCAAAATTGATTGGAGAATTAATTTTAAAATTATGAGTACTCCCTTACAAACACACAGGCACACAAGCACATCAAGTAGCAGAGAGTGGAGCCATAGTGACTTGAGGTATTTCAATAAATTTTTAAAAATCATTGGTTTTTCCAGTAAGCCATGCAGACCCAATAGGAATCTCTAAAAGTTAAATAATAACAAGAATTTTAAAAACTAAGTAAGCATACTTCAAAAGAGATCATTCTATAGTAATAGTTTACTGAAGTTACAAAAGTATAAATCTAATAAGCATGTAGGAGGATCCATGTTTATTATACCATACTATTGAAAACATGAACTTACCAAAATTTTAAAACCATGCAAAAAAAAAACTACAAAATATCTTCTATTCTCAGGGGGATAAATCAGCCACACAAAATAACTTTCACTGGGATAAGATGTTGAATTTTTTATACAAATATTTAATACTAGTTATTATAAATATGTATGTACCTAAAATGTATTTTAAACACTATGTGCCAATAACTCTATGGAAATACGATGGCAGTGACAGAACAATTAGGGAAATAAAAACTCTATGAATGAATCAAACAAAGTTACAAGTTGCAAAATCATTATCTACACTATAAAACTCAATACATTTACATAAATGTTGAGATGTAGAAGAAAGAATTGATGAAATAAAGATGGAATGGCAGAAATAATTTATTCCTGAAGGTAGAGAGAAGGAGATAGGAAAACTAATGGAGCCTTAGAGACCTTTACAGAACTTTATCAGTAAAACCAACTTAGGTATAATTATTGCCCGTGTGAACAAAGAGAAAGACAAAAGACAGAAAAACAATTTTTGAGACACAATGAATGATCATCTTAAATTTCATGTTGAAATATATAGACCCATGTGTATAAAGTTGTTCATGTAGAAAAGATCATCTGCTATAAATTAGGCCACATCAACTAGGTAATGATGCAGAAAAGTGTGAACTTGACCTCTACCACACAGCATCAGAAACACAGCATCTCAAAAATATACATTCTCAAAGTATTATAAACTTAAATGTAAAAGTCCATCAATAAAGAAAAAAGATAAACCATAAAGAGTAATGCAGTAGATGATCTCCATGAACTTTGACTAACTTGTGAATATGTCCAAAATAATCACCAACATTCAAAATGAGATATTGGACTATGGTAACATTAATAAACCCTGGTCATTAAAAAAGGCCAATATGTTTAGCCTTCATGTGTTCCTCTAATTTGTGACTAAAATCAACCAGTTCTGTGAGCATCCTGATCACCAGTGTTTTGAACTGTGCATCTGAAAGTTTTGCTATTTCTTCTTCACTTAGAGTTATGGGCTCTGGGGCTTTGAGATCTTCTTGAGCCATTTTTGGTCTATTCGTTCCCGTTAAGTATGAGGAGCAGAGCCTTAGGTGTTCAAGAGAATCCTAGAAGCAGCAAGAGATAAGGGACAGTCATCTACAAAGGAGTTCCCATCAGACTGTCAGTGGATTTCTCAAAAGAAATCTTACAGGCAAGAAGGGGCTGGAAAGAGGTATTCCAAGTCATGAAATCCAAAGACCTACATCCAAGATTACTCTATCCAGCAAAACTTTCATTTAGAATGGAAGGGCAGATAAAGTGCTTCTCAGATAAGATCAAATTCAAGAAGTTCATCATCACCAAGTCCTTATTATATGAAATGTTAAAGGGACTTATCTAAGAAAAAGAAGATAAAAAAGATGAACAGTGAAAGGACAGCAGAATGCACAGTTATTAACAACCACACCTAAAACAAAAGCAAGCTAAAAGGACAGCTGGATGAGGAGTGGAAACATAGAAATGAAGATCTCATGGAGGGTTAGCAACAGGGGAGTGGGAAAAGGAGAAGGTACAGAAAATAAGTAGCATAGATGGTAGGTAGAAAATAGATAGGGGGGCAAGAATAGTATGGGAAATATAGAATCTAAAGAACTTGAGACACATGGTCATAAACTAAAGGGAGGGAATGGTAGGGGTGGGGGGTGCAAGGTGGAGGGGAAGGAAGGGGGGAATAGAACAACTGTAATAGCATAATCAATAAAAGAAAAAAAAAAGGAAAAAGAAACCCTCCAATATGCCCTGGATGATGTAGCTGGGTGGACTGAGTGCTGTCCTGGGAACCAAAGCACTGCCAGTTTGATTTTCAGTCAGGGCACATGCCTGGGTTGCAGGTAATATCCCCAGTATGGAATGTGTCAGAGGCAACCACACATTGATGTTTCACTCCCTCTCTTTCTCCCTCCCTTCCCCATCTCTCTAAAATAAGTAAATAAAATCTTTAAAAAAAACTCCAGTGTGAGGAGAAAAATGTAAT